TTGATTAGTAGGGAGTTTTAATCTGCTGTGTTAATCTGCAGCAGAACAGTTCGATTTGACTCAAGTAGCACCTTAACAGACCAAGAAGAGATCCAGGGCATAAGCTTTTGAGATTTAACGCTCCCTATGTCAGATAGGAGTAGAGTAGAAACTGAAATCTCTGACTCTTTTTATCCTAGTCAAAAGGTAGGAAGGGTGTTGCAAAGAATGCTTGTAAAGGATGCACTGGTACAATGCATGTTGTAATCAATGTGAATAGAGCAGAGAGGAAGGAGTTGGGGGCAGAAAATCAGCATCTGTAGTGAGATAAGAATCCTGTGTCCCTGTTCAGCCTGGGGAGTGGGCCCATTGTTCTGAATTTGTGAATAATCTCAATCTCATGTTGCAATTTCCCCTAGAAATTTCTTTGTTTGAGGACTCCCACTCTTAGGTCAGCAGTGTCTTTTGGTTTAGTACAGTTTCATCCATCCCTTCATCCAAGGAACTCTAGGCAGTCTCCTTTGGTCTTTTCTCTCCCATTTTATCCTCATAGCAACACTGCGATGCAGGTGAGGCTGAGGAACAGTGACTAGTCATCCACCAAGCTTCATGGGAGAGAGGAGACTTAAACTAGAAAATCCGTAAAATGGTTTCTCCTTCCATGAAATCAGTGGGTATTCTTAGCTAAGCTGCTCTCTCTCCTAGCCCCGGATAGATCGATAATATCAATAATATTGACTACTTTACAGGATTGTTCCAAGGATTATAATACATACATGAAAACAAAACAAAAATTTGCTAAATAGTGTTATTGTTTATGGGCTGTCTGATCCCACAGTATCTTTAGCTATATTGGTGCTATTCTATCAGGACACATCAGGTTGGTGGCCACCATACAAGCTTGACAGTCCAATCCTAAGGAGAGTATGCACCCTTGTAATGCCATTAAAGTCAATGGTGTCACTCACAAAGAACAGGAAGATTTCTGGAAGACAGACAGCATGCAGAAAAATATGGCTATTCATTTGATGCGGAGGGCTCCAAAAATAGGTTGAAAGAGAACTGCCCATTCCTGCCTCATTTAGTGTAATTTATTTATTTAGATATTTGTACCCAGCACTGTGGGAACCCAAACCAGCTAACAACATTATTCTCCCTTCCTCTACGTTACCATGGCAGAGAGTGGATTCAAACCGAGGCCTCTCAGATCCTAGGCCAATCCCCTAACCATGCTGGCACATACTGCAATATATGACATCAGTACACCTGAAGAAGAAAGCAACCAGCAAGCCATCACAGTGGGAAGGGGGAGAAGAACCAGAATCAATAGGCGATGGGTGGGCAGGAGGGAAAGATCTCCATCTTAACTCCACAGGTAGCAGGACCAGAGCCACAGTGGGACCAGCTACAGAGAGGCTCGCACTAGACCTCCATCTTGGTGGCTTTAACTGTGTCAGGTGATGGCTGCCCATTGCCAGATTCAGGACTCAGATTCCCAAGAAATTCAAAGGGGAAAAGGGGAAAAGAGCCTTGTTAGAACTGGCTTACAGGAGCAGCTATGGTAATGGAGAAAAAAGAGGCAGTTCAGAAGGAAGAGCGTGCTTTCTGGTTCCTTCCCTCATAGTTCCTCACAAGCACCATACCTCTTTTATTTGATTATTATGTTTTTCAGCTAACTCTTAAAAAGTACATTGTCAATCGCTTTGTCAGAGCTACATGAAAAGCTCAAAATGCAGAATGAACAGAGTAGGTGTCCTTATTTAACATTTTTTCTCTCAGATTTTTGAATATAATGGATCTTGTTGGATGCTTATGCTGTCCTGTGAGCCATTTTTCCTGTCACACATCTACCCTGACACAAGTTAATCATGAGGATTTTTCCGTAATGGCTCTTCCTGCTGTCTGTATAGTATATGCACTGGTGGGGGGGGCAAAACAACCAATGGGAGGAGGGAGGGAGTTTAACTCGAAGGAGTCTGGAGACAGCGGACGCCATCAAAACAGGCCGAGGAAAAATGCCGTTCCAGATCACGTCTCATCTGCAGCTGAACGAGACCCTCGCCAGCTGTGAATGTGTGCAATTTAAGATGTATATATGTTGTCCTCCCTTACCCCACAAAGCATTGTTAGTCCCTCGTGAAAAATGAGTAACTGTAAATCGCTCAGAGCCAGCAAGCTCTGCAGGATTGAGCGATTAATAAATGGAAAGATGATGATGATGATGATGATGATTAAGATTTTAAAGGGTTTTGTTTCTTAAGGATAATTATTAAAAGTGTAAAATGTACACTGGGTTGGGAATTATCACAAAATCCTTCATTTCCTTTTTATGGGAGCAAGTGTGTCAGGTTTTCTATATAGCATGTAGTTACCTTCTGTTGGGATCTTTATACAAAATAGCCTGTTAGCCCCCTTCCAAGCAATTCTCAGGAGTCCAGATCTGATTACACTTGTGTGTGTGTGTGTGTGTGTGTGAGTGACTGATGACTAGATTAAACTACTTCAGGTGATAATGAGAAAGAACCATAACTCAGTGGAAAAGCGCAAGGTTTTCATGTTGAAGGTCCCTGCTTCAATCTTGGCCATTTATAGCTGAAAGAATATAAGGGCTGGGGAAGATCTCTATTAGGGTTGCCAGCCCCCAGGTGGGAGTGGGGGACCCCCTATTTCATGGGTTCCAGTCCGCCGCTGGCCAGCTGTCTGGCAGGGGGACGCCCTGCCTCCAACAGCCACATCCGGGTATGATGTCCCTGGCGTGATGAAGTGATGTCCCTGGCGTGACTTGGAAGTGGGTATGATGTCCCTGGCGTGACTTGGAAGTGATGTCATCACGCCGGGGATGTCATGCGCGGCAATGTCGCCCCACTCCCAGGAAGTTCCCTTCTCCTGCCCACTAGCAGAAGAAAAGGACCTGGCAACCCTAATCTCTGCCTGCCTGCCTGCCTGCCTGCCTGCAGCATCTGAGAACCCCTGCCAGTCAGAGTAGGCAACACAGAGTCAGACCAATGGGTCCGATTTACTATAAGGCAACTTCGTATGTTCAACAGTTACTCAAGATTTTTCAGTATGAATTATTTCAGTACAAGTGAACATGTTACTTTTTATTTCTACTTCTGTGTACCACCTAGTGGTTTTATGTACTTTAGAAGTGACTATGGTTATTATTAAATAATATTTACCACTAAGGCATCTTAAAGTGTGCTCTATCAGGAACACGTGTCCAAAGTCCCTAGTATAATTAAGTTATATAATGCTACTAATATAATTATTCTCCAGTAAGAGTCAAATGAGAAATTACACTGGTGATCCAATATTGGATCTTCTGTTGTCTGTACTTTTAAACAGGTTAGAAATCCTCGATAACACCCCCATAAGAAGTGTCCATAGTACTAGTGGCAGATTAAAGCAGAAAAATAATTTCGATTGGGGGAACACTATGGGGAAGGGTTACTCCTGTGCTAGAGGAGGGGAAGCTTAACCCCCTTTTTGTGCAGAGTATCTAATACAGCCTCCTCCAAAATTTACTACTAGCCACACACAGGGGAAGAAAGTAAAGAGGCATGTCTTTGTCTTCTGCAGTAGATCTAAAAGCTTCAGTGAGGCCCTGGTCACACGAATGGTTTTGGGCCGGGAGAGGGACGGATCGGGGCCGCAGCAAACGGGCGCGATCCCACTGCAACATCTGGGCAGCGTTGTGAACCCGTTCCCGATCCGGCCCTTCCCCCGAAAAGACGCAGCAAAACTGAACCACCTACCGAGGTGGTTCTTTCAGGACGGCCGCATGAAGGCCGGCCGTGGGATCGCCGGCACGTCCTTTTGCCGGCGCATCCCCGGCTTCTGGCTGAACTGTGCATGCTCAGTCATGCGCAGTTCGGCAGCCTCCCTCTCCCGGCCGTCTTCCTCCCCGGCATCTGATCGTGCCGGGGAGCAACGGCGCCGCGGTTCAGGGGATCCGTGGGATCCCGCTGCGGCGTCTCTATTTTATTAAAAGCCGCACTTTGGCCGGTGTTTTTCCTGCCGTGTGGCAGGGACCGGAGTATACTTAGATCAGGAAAAGGGCAGTCCAAACCCAACTTCAGAATCCCCATGACGTCTTTAAATAAAATTAAAGCTATTGGGAGATTCAGTTATAGCTCTCCCACATCTCAGGCTGCTGTAAATCTGTCATTAGAACTTTGTAGGATAAAATATCTTCTTCTTTTTTAAAAAAGAACTTGCTTCAAAGCTATTCTGTTCTAATGGTGGGTTTGGGGAACAAGGCAGAGAGGTTCGGCAGCTTTTGAGATCTAGCACTGGGCCAATACAACAAAGATTGCCTAAGGTGATATAATAATGTGGCAAGGCCATGTCAGCATGATTACTTTGTCCTCGCTTTTGTGACATAGACATCTTAGAGAGCACATAAATCCCTTCTAAAAACAACAATGATACGATGTGTGGTGACTTCATACCACCTGGTGCTGGCAATGCCCATTGGATCTGCTTCTGTTGCAGACCCTGCACTATTCGCAAACAATTCATTTCTCACTGTCACCATCACAGGTTCCCTGGGGAGAAAGGGTGCCAATTGCTTCATGCTCCTCATGCATGTACCAGTGGAGGTCATTGGGCAGCAAACAACAAGGACAGTGGTAGGCTGCCTAGGCATGCTGATTCCTGCAATGCAGCACCTGTACGGTGGCCAATAATTTCATGGGGCGTGACTCGCCTGCCTATACCTCTTGGCAGCACATATTAGTGCAGGCTATAGGTCTGTTGGTCAGGGAATGATTGATGTTTACCTTTTGAATAGACACACTGTTGGTGATGAATATAGTGTCAGTTACAGCAGACTTTACACAGAAGGCGATACTAGTTGGATGAACAACTAGTCATTGTTCATCCCAGATAGACTAAGAAGAATAACAAACTGCATTGTTACAGATGGGGAAAAATCTATCAACTGGCATGGTATGTAAAATGTAATTAATGGAAAGTGCTGACTAATATTTGTGTGTTTTCTTCCCTATTTTTCCCCCCAGCCAATGTTTTCAGTTGCACCAAGCTTAGCCACCAATGCTTCAACAGCCTTTAATCCCTACTTGGGGCCTGTCTCCCCCGGCTTAGTTCCAACGGAGATCCTGCCAACAGCACCCATGCTAGTTGCAGGGAATCCTGGCATGCCAGTTCCTGCTGCCGCTGCTGCAGCAGCACAAAAGCTGATGAGGACAGACAGACTCGAGGTAGGAACTACAACTTTGTCATTTTTTATTCTTCTAGCTCCCAGATTTGCATTGCTGATTTCCTAAGCAAAATGGTAACGCTGCTTAAAAGTGATCCGCCTCCCCAAAATTGCAGTTGTTATGCTGTTCAAAAACACAAAGGTAATGTAATAATGTACTCCCCCCCCAACTAATAATTGAAAAGGAACAGATTGATCTCTCTGCTCATAAACCTTACTATTTCTACACAAACAGAGTAATGATCTTCATGAGCAGCAGACCATGCCTAAGCTTCTTCATAAGATTGGCCCGTAGCACTGCTATTAAACCATCACGTGAATCATTGGAATCTCTGCAGTGTTTTGTGTTCTTCATGTAGCTTTCTGCCTGCCTGTTGCCACATGAATGGCAAAACTGTGTTTATCCAAGGGCAGGTTGCACAGTAATGCTGGATGCCCACCGAGCTCTTTGGAGGAGGATATTATCCAATTCTCGTAACATTTTAGTGTGCAAATTGCTTCATGCTCCTCACACCGCTCTGTCATGGCTCCCAAGAATTCCATCAGTCAAATGGGGACATAAAAGATCCACCATGCAAGTCAGGAGTTCCTGGCTGGACAGAAATATAGAATTCCTCTGGCAGCAATCACAGTAAGCAAAATCACATCCTACTGCTATGAATCGAACATCGTTAGCTCATTAACTGCCGTCAGAGCTGGATAAGAAACAAACACCACAGCCTCTCTCATTTCCCTGCCACGCTTGTTTCTAGCAGAGGTCTCGTATTTGTTATTTATCAGCTTTTGCTACATGCCTAACAAATGTTGTTTTGCTCTCGCAAATATTCTCCTTTGCCCTGAACAGCTCCTTATCTGAGGATGTCTGACAGGGGTTTTCAGCGGCTTATCACATCAATGCTAAAATGGGCTCCAAGCCAACTTTGTGCTGCAGCGTGGTATGGAACTCAACTGAGTCACAAATGCAGCAATCTTCATGCTGGTCTTCACAGCATCGGAAGTGACATTTTCCATCATTAAAATGTAAAGTGAAACACGGAGACATGTTAAAGCACAGACCTGGTGCCAACATAATGCTGAATTGTGGTTAGCGTTAATTGTGGCCAGTTGCCTTAACCCTGGTTAAGAACCCTATAGTGAGAGCAGAGTTTAGCTTACCAAGCTAAGCTTTCCGCCAGGAGGACACGCACCAAATACCAGTCAGACCCGCTTATGACCTTGCAAGCAGAATGGTGGGGAAACCCTTGCTGCATAAAACAGATGTAAGGCTGGCCTTAAACATGGTTAGTGCAAACTTAAGGTTGCTCAAGCCTGCAACCAGTGGTTTCAGAGCCAGTTTTGTGTAGTAGTTAAGTGCGCGGACTCTAATCTGGGAGAACCGGGTTTGATTCCCCACTCCTCCACTTGCAGCTGCTGGATAACCTTGGGCAAGCCATAGTTCTGTCAGAGCCGTTCTCTCAAGGACAGTTCTGGAAAGAGCTCTCTCAGCCCCACCTACCTCACAGGGTGTCTATTGTGGGGAGGGGAAGGGATAGGAGTTTGTAAGCCACTCTGAGACTCCAAGTGAAGGGTATGGTATAAATCTAATTGCTTCCTCCTCCTCATCTTTTACCAGGGTTTAGGTATTCAGACATTTGATTATAGATAAGAACCATGCAAACATTAGGTTGGATCCAGCCAGCTGTTTAACACAATCTTTTCCAATTCCCCTCCTTACTGCACCCCTCGTCGTACATGGCTTTTGTCCATGACGGTCTCAGCATAGCCTTTTTGGTGGTCAAAGGAGATCCCTCTTTCCTTTTCACCAGCTGAAAATCTGGTTGGATCTGACCTCTTCTTTTTTTACTTGGGGCCACCATGATGGCGACACATTGTTTTGTTCCAATTCTTTCTCTCATACATTTACATAGACTTCATTACTTCCTTCTTTAAGCTTTACGATGTCTGTGTAATGCATACAGCAGTACCCTCACACTCTGCTAGTTTTTTTTAAAACACAGAATGATAAAGTGTACAAGTAGCCTTTTTTAAAAAATAAGAAAAAACAAAGCAGCCCTCAGAGAGACCATGATTTTGCAAAAATCGCTCGTGTGAAAAAGCTTTCTTTTCCTTGAAATCCCCATAAGGAAACCTCTAAAATAGCACCTTACTACTTGTAAATTGTGAAGGAGAAATTGTCTGGCTGCACAGGGAGAGGGAATGGCTGAGTCTTTTCAGGAAGCGGGGCTGTTTTACCTGTCTATGACCAAGCTTTATGCCCACTGCCCAAAGCACGTGGAACAGGAGGCTAAATCCGAACCACATTAATTATTTTTAAACATTATTAATTATTTAATTATCAGTTTCCCCCCACACACAATTTTAAAAGCTCTGTACAAATAAAATGTCACAAATTGAGCCCAAAGCAGGTTCTGAAACTAAAACCCCTTAGGGGTTTCTACATATTGACGACCCGGCTCTGGCCAAAGACAGGAGACCAGCAAGGAAGGTTCATAGCCAGAGCAGGTCAGGTGATACCTGGGGCCATGGCTCATTGGCTGAGCATCCACTCAACATGAAGAACATCCCAGGTTTGATTCCCTGCATCCCCTAGTTAAAAGGATCAGGTAAGAGGTGATGTGAAAGACCCTCGAAAGCCACTGCCAATCACAGCGGACAGTATTCACTTTTGAAGGATCAGCAATCTGACTTAATATAAAGCAGCTTCCTATGTTCCTAAAAATTGTCAGATCAGGTTTTCTCATAGGACTGGTCAATTTGTGGGCTCCATTCCTGACTTCCTTGCCACATCTCCCTCTTAATTAGACAGAAAGTGGATCAGACCTGGCATGGGCTGTATTAGTCTCCTTATTTATTTATACCCCCAATACCCCCCAAAGCAGCTTATAGAATCTCTTCCTCTATTTTATCCTTGCCACCTGTGAGGCAGGTTAGGCTGAGATTCATCCAGAAAGCTTCTAAGGCAGAGCAGGGATCCAAACTAGGTCTCACAGGCACTTATTCATGCCAGTCAGTCCAGCATGAATTGTACCATGCATTGGCACTCAAAGCATGACATCGACAAAATGGGTATCACCTCTAATCGGGGAGGAAATGGAGAAACCGTTTTTTAGAAGATGTAAATGGTCCTCCCCAGTATTTCTTAATATTTGAGTTATTCCTTTGTTATTTCCTTCCTTCCAGAAGGAAAGGAACTGTTGCATTAGCCACTATTTTTCCCACCGAAAGAACTTGCCCTGTAGTCTTGGGTGGTAATGCGTTTTCCAGGGCACGCCTTTCAACCAGCTTAGCCCAGTTTTTCAGTTGAAAGTTGCCCTTGAAAAGCTTGACCTTGGCAGGCACCCCTGATAGGACACCAAGAGGGCAGACGCTCAGAGCAGCAGGGCCCGCGGAGTGGCAGCCGTATCGATCAGAAAGGAGGAAATCACAGCAAGGAGGATGCGAGGCAAGAGAAATGGCTAAAGGAGGTTTTCTTTTTCAGGACTAATTGGGCAATTTTCGATCTGCTGCTGTTTGTTTTGGCAAGTTAAGGGAATCTTCTCTCTCTCTCTCTCTCTCTCTCTCTCTCTCT